GCCTCAGGTTCATAAAACAAAAAACAACAAAAGATGAAACAAAAACAATGGCAAAATATAAAAATATAGAACGTATCCAAGGCAAAAACATCTCCTCTGAAAATTCCCAAAGCACCCTGCTTATCTTCTACAGACCATCACTATTCCTCCTTTAACAAATTAGTGTTATCTGTCTGAAAAACTCAAGTACAAATCAAGGGCATGTTCTGGCATGAAATGTTGAGATTTTGAAATCTTCTCTATAAAGTGAATCATTTATGGCGTGGAATAACCAGTCTGTTTCTGTGGAAATTTCTCATAAAAATGATATCACATCTCTTTATCTGTTTTCTGTAAATCAGACAGATAAGATCAGTTTCTCTGTTTCAGGTCCTACGTTTCAACCCTTTGCTTGGGCTTAAAAACAGCTTCAAAAAATATATTTGTAATTTCTGTTTCACAGATGATTAGCAAATAGGAACACATCGATAATGTTACGTTTGTTTTTCGGTGTTTAATTTTAATTAATGTTGACAATGTTTTCTGTTTTTTTATTATGTTATATGGCTTAATTTTTGCACAACAACATTTCTATTCTAAGATTTAAAAGTATTGAGCACAATATTTCTGTAACCGGAGCTTAGAAAGTCACTTTTGAAATAACTGCACATGCGCAACATCAGTCTACCCTCTCTTCTGCCATTATGTGACATATATAGACTCAAAGCCTTGCTATATTCTCCAAAACTTGCAACTTTTAACTACCTTTTTAAGTATCCAGTGAGAGCAGTGAACTACAAAGAGTACCGTAGTTAAAACTGAAGCTCACTGGATACACTGGCATTAGAAGTGCTCATGTGCAGCAAGATGAAACAAGCACACCACAAAGAACTTGAATACGAAAGATCTATACCTTTAGTCTAAAACTGTGTATTTCTATTTTTTTCTTCTTCTTTTCCTCTTTCACTTCTGAAAAAAAACATTGTTTAAGTGTTGGAAAACCTCTAAGAAATACTTACACTGTCATTAGTATCAGTTGAAAGTGTCACAAACTTTTTTTTTTTTAAGTTGTTGGGTTGAATTTTTTTTTTTAAACAGGTCTGCTAACACCCTGTCTTCATTGTTTTATTGAAATTTCCCTGGATTAAGAATGAACAGAACAATACAGCATTTAGTCACCCTTTAACTAACATAAATGAAATGAAAACAATCCAACAATTGATCCATAAGCAACTGCATATCATTCTTAAATATGGATTCATTTACAGGCAAACAAAGGCAGGGTCGGCATATTGTAGCCATGCTCACAGAGGGAAAACAGTACAAAGCTGAGCATTTAACAGCATGACAGAAGCTTTCAGGCATCCCTCCCAGCAAAGTGCTGAGGATTTGTTTCTATGTTTCTTGTCTTAACAGAAGTTAGGCAAAGATGTATGAATCACTCTGGGGTTTCATCTCTTTTCTGTTCATAGATGATAGTGTCAAGTGATCACTGGGCCTTGAATGCAAGTCATCTTTGTGGAGGGGTTTTCTGGAGGCTCATTTCTGTTTTTCTCATTTTTTGTTTTTTTTTTTGTCTTTGCTGCAGAAACCTTGATGGACACTCGAGTGGCCACCGCAGAACTAGGCTGGACAGCATATCCAAACTCTGGGGTAAGTTGGCAACTGCCAACACATGTTTTGCTATCATTATCCTCTTTTCAGGATAAAGTAACTTGATAGTCCCATGCATAACTTAACAACTCAGATCCACAGGCAGAAAGGCAAGTAGCCACAAAAATAGGTAGGTTGGGGGTATAAACTTAAGTAGTTCCCAATGTAGCTCCCATTAAGGTATAATTTTCTCTGTGTCCCAGTTTATAATGACTTAATAATATAATGGGTCTATATAAGCCACAGCACACAGTACCTAAGTCCCTGTTAATGGAAGCTGGGGGATACTGTAGCCATAATGATACTGTAATGATACATTTATGCAGTGGAGTGGAGGTATTAGAGTGAAACTGGAAGGAGGAGCTTTGACGATGGAAATGCTCTAGGGTTTAAAGATTTAAATGGAACTATTTTCACCACGTCAGTATTTTAGCTGTGAAGGGGGTCAGAGATTAAAGAAAGATTGAAGTATCCAGAATGCAAATAATAGTCCCTTATTTATTTTCATCAACTAAATAAACAGTTAAAAGGATTGCGCCCCATTACACCCACTGAACTAAGGATAGTTTAAGACGTAATTTCAGCAATGTAATCCAATAACCCAATAAAAGGCTCCATAGCCCAGCATTGGTTTAAATAGCAGGAACTACTCAGGATAGACAATGACTGTTTCCTGCATTTTCTGGTTCTTTAGGTTTTTATGAAGCATTTTATAACTGTGTAAAGAGACCCTTTATTGGTGCTAAACCAGATGAACAGAGCTTTGACTTTGTTTAAGGACTGACAAGTGTGGCAGCCCAGATTTTTAGTATTATTGTTTGCATCCCTCAAGGAGTACTGAGACAGCTTGTTTAATAAAATAAAGTATGTGTGTGTGTATTTGTGTTTATGTAGGCATTTCCCTCTGCCAAATCTTTAAGCTTTAATCTTGCATGGTGTTGGTTTTTATTCTGATAATTCAAGGGATTGTTGGCCTGAATGTTATTGTTGGACTTTTTTACTATTCATTAGAACAACTCTTTTTTCAATGGGGAAATCTTTTCCTACATATAATTAAAAAAAATTGTAATTCATGTTGATTTTGGTTCACATCAATATCGTCATACACAGACTTGAGCATATACAAAGTCCTTAAAAATGTTTGGCTCGTACCATAGCAAGTTGGAATTGGTAGAGTTAATTTAAATTGGTTGGTTTCTAATCAGCTAACACACATGTATCCTCATGCATTCATCAGATTAGATATCAAGGCTTCTGGATTTCCATATAATAAGCTTAATGTTAACCTCCTATGCTCATGAAAAACAGGTTTTAGTTTGAGTTTTAAGTTATTCAGGGTTTCTGATGGTTGTCAGAGTGCCTTGTGGTGCCTGTCTTCGGCAGCCTTGTTTCTCTCAGTGATCCTCAGGGAAGCTGTGCCTGCAATGTAACTTCCCACCATCAGTGTGTGTGTGAATGAATGAATGATTAAATTTAATGTAAAGCACTTTGGAGTTCCCTGACTTGAAAAGGTGCGATATAAATACAGGCATTTTACCATTATCCACATGTGTAATAGATTTTTTTATAATAGTATCCCAGAAAAGAGATGGTACTGTATATATATATATATATATATATATATATATATATATATATATATATATAGCTAAATGTACTATTCCCTTTTAAAACTTCCAGTGGTGCTTATGAACACTTGCAATTCTGATCATCCCTAGAAATGGCTCTGGAAATGAGGACTTAAACGCAACTTTCATAGCACGGTTTATCAACGACACCTGGAGAAATTAACAAGACCTGCAGTGCTAGTTTTATTAATTTCTAATACGGATTAAATTTGATTATGTTCTAAAATCACAAAGATTGGAAAATGTATAACTAACTCATATTTGAAGGCTTCATTTTAAATGGATGAGCATATCCAATGTTCCAATTCCTGGATAGTTATAGATAGATTATAAAACAATGTAACACTGAAAATTGTCAGTTTTAATGTTTAGAAAATTTTTGATAAGATTGTACCCCTATATGAAGGTCAAATATTTTGTGTTGCCTTTGAAGTTGCCTTTTTTGATTTAAAATTCCTGTGTACCAGATGTATTTAAATGCAGCATACCCAATAATTATGAAGGACATATTAGCAGTCCTAATGCATACACAATGCATACAGACCCTGAAACACAGACATGTTAAATGTAAAAAAAATCAAAGGTGACAAATGGTTTCTGCTCAAAAAAATAACAAACAGAATTACTTTGGGTATTGCTCTTAACTGTATAGAGTTTTTTTCTATTTGATGATCATTGCGCATTATGCTTGTTGAATATGTATTTGATGTAATCCTTCTACTCTAAGTGTTTAAACAAGAGTTGCTTTTCCTCATACTAACCACAAAAATTAACTTGCCACACTGGAAAGTAAAAATGAAAGTAGTGAACCCTAATTTTCATTTTGTAGTTTACTGCTTAAAAAAACTTTAGTTATACATTATTGAAATATTACATGCATGTATTTTGTCCAATTGAGGGGGAAAATGAAATTGTTTGATTTTAATTTTAGTTTTACCTTATTTGTTGGGTCGTGTGGTGATGCTATATCACTTTTACCTGAGATGTCCTTAAAGAAGGACATCTTTTTTCAATCAATTAGTTTTTTATTCTTCCATGGTTAAATACCTTTTATCCAGATGAATCTTTGCTGAAATCTACTGAGAAGAGGCAGCTATAGAGTCTAAACTGATGTCTGTTCACGAAGCCTCCAGGCACACAGAACCTCTTGTCTTTGTTGAGCACAGGCCTTTTTTAAGCTGCTTCTGTTGCAAAGGTTCAGAACTGCTGTAGGGAGAACACACGTTTGCTGTTCACTTGTAAAAAGAGTCTGAGAATAGCACAGTGTATAACTTTGTTGCCACATTTAGCTCAAAGATACAGTTGCACTTATGACTTGACTTTAAGTTGTGAGCATGGAAGCCTCAAATGTAGGGCTTTTAATATATTAATTATACTTACTATTAACTAGGTGAAAATTATATGTCCATTTGACGTGGATATTTTAAGGTGTTGTGCTGAAAGTTATACAATGTATTTTAATTAAAGATGAAAACCCATTAGCTTTGTGCAAGTAATCCTGATTGACATTGGATAACAGTACTCTTTCTGTAAATAAAGTGTTTGTCAGTAGTCATTGCAAAATTTAATAGAACAATTTGAAGGTCAAAGTTTTAAACAAAAAATAGTATAAAAACACTGCACATTAACTGATATGAGATCCATATTTCAAATGACTGCACTGACTGTTTTTGGTCCATAACCTCAGGTGGGGGGGGTGTTGGTCCCTTGCACTTTTTACTGTCCAAAAACAATGTTACACTGGAGTACAAAGACTTTTGTTCGAGCACTAGGACCATGCGGGAAACTGCAGCTCAAGCTTAAGCCCATTTCCCTGAGTTTAGACCACCTGATTGGCCCACCATCTTTACTTGTGTGATTAGCTGTCACCGCCTCCTCCTGAAAAGCTCATTTTACAAACATCTGATACGCCAGGATTATTATGCATTAATTAGAAAAAAAACCCCAAAGGAATAACATTGCATGTACATCGATAGAAGTTCAAAAACAGTGGTTTTGCATGATACAGGCTTTTTAAATAATAATGAATATTGTTTGTGAAATTGTGTTTACCCATAAGAAGGCAATAAACATAACTTAAATAAGCTTGTATTTCTATATTAAAACTGTGGCGGCTATATGGTTCTTACATCATTTTAAGTTAGAAGTTGTAATTTCTTATTCTGCATGAGGAAAATCATTACAATTAACAAAAATATAGGCTTAGAAAACACTGTATTGGTGTAATTGATGTGCTTAACATTGTGAATTGATTTACTGAAATAAAATGAGCTTTTCAATATTCTAATTTGTTAAATATTAATGTGTATTTGAGCCCATATGCGTTATTCCTTTTCTCTGTAAACGATAATGAATTATGGTTTAAAAGAAATGTAATTTAGTGCATTCACTTAAAAAAAAAAAAAAAATACTATATCAGTTATGAGGGGAATTTTAAATAAAAACTATTATAAGAATTATGAGTGACTGTAAAGTCATTCTATCCTGGAAAAAGAATAGTTTAAGTAGATTATTTTGACATTCGTGACCATGATGAATGTAAACGTCTGATCTCAACTGTTCTAATAAATCTTACAGGTCTACATTGGATTATTGTTGCACAAAAACTAATTATGTAATAAAGACAACTTATCAATGCTAAAAAAATAAAATAAAAAAACTAAACCCACAGACCCCATGTCTTTGAGCTGCAGTTGCATTTCTTGTTTAATCCAGTGGTTGGTTTAGTTTCCTATGTGAACCTCTATAAACCTTGGTGAATTTCTCACACATACACAGCATAATGCCATATGCAATGCACTTTCAGTTAGTATGATTTTCTGTGTGTTTCAGTCCATTGTGTATAATGTGTGTCTTTTATAAGCTTTCAAGCAAGAGTTTTTGTTAAGTGTTTTAGTGTTTTTTGCGCTGAGCTGAATGTTTGTTGTGAAGGACTCCAGATGTGGCGTTATTAATTCTGGTAGTGAAAACATGAGGACAGGGTCACCTGTATGAATATATGATGGACTGGCAGCAGCATTTGAACACTGACACATTAGCATCTGCATGAAATGCATAGAGATCCAAGCATGGACACATCTGTTCAACAAACAATATGCTTTTCTTCTACTTTTTTTGTTATTTATTTGGCTAAAACTGTTTCTGGCTGTGTGAGGGCTTCATTGTCCCGTCCTTTACTTTTAGTTTTTTTTTTTTTTTTTTTTTTTTTTGTCTAACCTTCATTGTTAAAAGTCCCCTCGTTCTTGCCTTGCTGCTCCACACCCTGCCCCTCACCCTCTGCTATTCACTTAGCTGTATGATTAATAAAATATGGAGTCTCAGAATGGAAAATGTCCTCTGACCTTGCTGTGCAGCCACATGACAAAGGGGACA